ACTTCTTCAGTCTGAGAGTGACTCAGACTCTCAGACTGAAGAAGTCTCTTGGAAGAGAGACGAAACGTTTCATTAAAGAAGAACCCGTCCAGAGGACCTATACAATTTTTTTTTTCCTATCAACACAAATGTTTTGTGGGGGAAAAAAAAAGACACAAATTTTATCAGTTATTGGTTGTTTTATTTTCTCTCTCTCCACAGGTTGTCACGTAAAAGAGTCCAGTCTAATAATTAAATCAGAGAAGCATCTGCACCAACCCAAAATACTTTTTAAAATTTGTTTATATATAAAATTAATTAGAAAGGTACACAGCTTTCTGGACTGGATTTCTCATTTTATTTTGAGTAATAATTCTACAATAATAATCCAAGTAAACAAAGTTAAATGGAGGGCAGACAAAAACAAAACAAACAAACTTAACTCCAAGGCATTAAGCAAGACTCAAACTCACAGACAAATGATTTTAAAACCGCAGCTCTGTATTAGCATAGAGCTAGCACAGTAATATGCATACAGTCGCCACAGATTAGTTTAAAAACAGTCCTACCTTTTTGGCAAAAAAAAAAAAGTCCCATATTTTATTTCTCCTCGGTTTTACTCAGTTTTCAGTGTTCTGTTCAGCTCTGTCTGTTCCAAATACGTTTTTAACCAGCATATGTCTCCTGTTGGACACAAGTTTTGCTGAACGCTATTCCTGCATTTCATAAGGTCACTTTAGATCTAATGTTCATATCAATGTGCTAAAACCAACAGGAATCGTCTACAGAGCATAATTTCCAACACCTCAACAACTGTTTATTTGAAGGAGCTGATCGCAACGATCATTGCTGTCAGGGGAGTATACTGTATATTAATTGGATAAATCCACTGACAAATGCAGGGCATCTAGCACCATAATGTTAAGTAAGTGAAAAAAATGAGAATGAATCTCTAAAAATTCAATTTGAAATTTTCAATATACTTCGAAAAACACAGAATAAACAAAGATAAGTATTTGGAGGAACTACTTTGTGGGGTGAATGAACTTTGCTTTAGGTAGGGCAACAGGTCATGCCTGGAAATGAACAAATATAAATTCCAGTAATCAATGAAGACACCTTGATTACCTCAAAGCTAACATATTCATGTAATAAATAAATAAATAATGCTGCTTTCTGTTTTTTTTTAATTTCCAAATATATCAGAGTCAGAGACCTTCTCACCTCTGAATAACTCTGAGAAAGGGGTCACCACAGCTGATTTCACATAAAAACTCATGTTCTGCTAAAATACACTGGTGGCTGATGTTTAGGATGTCTTGCACATATACGTACTTCCAGTGACAATAAATTGAGGAGATAAGAGATGTTTCATACATTACATATGTATGCTAGCTTAACTACCTTTTGTAATTGCTCTTTACATGTTATTTGTGAGAAGAAATGCAGGTAATAGATTCAAGTGCCTTTWTAGTGAAAATATTTTAAGGGTATTGTTATGCTTTGATGGCTTTAGGTGTCTGGTCTTCTGGTTCAAGACTACAGCCACGAGTATAGCCACTGGAATTCTGTCAAGTCTCTGGGTCAATGGTTGCAAGAAGAGAAGGTTTGGTTTCAAATTACTCAGCACCTGGTGTAATGTCAGAGGTGAACGGAACTCCTCTGTAAATTAACATTTCACTTTCCTTTAAAGGTTCCGGCGCTTTTTGGAATCGATACCAGAATGCTGACCAAGATCATCAGAGATAAGGTTTTGTAAATTTAAATGTTGAACGTACGGCTTCTTCAAACAAACAGAATGGCTGATCCGCCACTCGCATATCGTTGTTGCTCCTCAGGGAACAATTTTGGCGAAGATTGAATTTGATGACCAGCCTGTGGAGATATCAGACCCCAACCAAAAAAACCTTATTGCAGAGGTCTCAACAAAGGTAAAAACTGCAAGACATTTATATTTGACAATATATCAAGTATAATTCTATTGGCAAAAATTCTGTCTACCAATGCTCTTGAAGATTACTAACTTATTTTTGCTGGGTCGTTTTCTATTAGGAAATAAAAGTTTTTGGAAAAGGCAACCCAATCAAAGTTGTGGCTGTTGACTGTGGTATAAAACATAATATCATTCGGCTGCTGGTTAAGGTTGGTACACTGGGAGCGCCAACATACTTTTGATGCTGAATGTAAAACAAACAAACAAAAAAAATCTTGTTTAAGCTTTTAATTTTTTTTTTTTTACTGTGAGTAATTGCAAAATACACAATTTCAATCACTCTTTTTGATCTTTCGTCATTTAGTGTTGAGTACAGTAATACTGTACATAAAGTTCATGTCCAGAACAGGAAGCTCAATGTTATGAACTGTATTTTGCTTAAAATACATTTAACTTTGTTAGGCAATGCCATAAGATAATGCTTTTATTTCTCTGGGTGAAGCGAGGTGCAGAGGTTCACCTGGTGCCATGGAACCATGACTTGATGTCTTTAGACTATGATGGCCTGTTCATATCAAATGGACCGGGAGATCCAGCTCTAGCCAAGACACTCATCAGCAACATACGCAAAGTGAGCTACGTAATTAACCCGACATGCAAATAGTTAAGACACATTAGTCCCAGCCTGTTTTAAATTAGATGACAATTTAATTTATTTGTCAATATCTACAACATTTCTTTGTAGGTTCTGGAGAGTGATCGCTCCCAGCCAGTGTTTGGGATCTGTATGGGCAACCAAATCACTGCTCTGGCTGCAGGAGCCAACTCATACAAACTACCTATGGGTAACAGGTGAACTCTAATAAACATCTATTCTCTCCTTTGAAAAAGTTGCTTTTAAAATAAATAAATGTCACCTCTCCTAAAGGAAAAAAACAAAACAAAAACAAAAAGACAACATTATGCCTGTCTGTGCTTCCTCAGAGGTCAGAACCAGCCAGTGTTGAATGTGATGACAGGACAGGCCTTCATTACTGCACAGAACCATGGTTACGGAATAGACAGCGAGTCCCTGCCAGCAGGCTGGAGCCCGCTTTTCATCAATGCTAATGATGGCACTAATGAGGTTAATTTTACTCTATTTGCATGTTCAGCCTTTTTAAAAGACAACATGGCATTTTGATGTTTTTGTTCTGTAGGTTTTTCTTCAAAAGGTCCAAGTCCAGGTCCTGTTTTAAAACACAAATTATGAGTGAAGCGGATGAAAGACTGAAGTCAACACATCCTTTCAGAACTATTTTTTTAAACACTCACATGTTTGTGAAATGTTCATTTCCGTATATTTATCATTATGTGCATGATTTTCAGGGCATCATGCACAACACTAAGCCTGTTTTCACGGCCCAGTTTCATCCGGAGGCTAAGGGTGGTCCCACTGACACAGAGGTAATTAAAGACTTTGATGGTGCTGCATAAAATACCTGAACACTACACTGCAACTAATTAAAGGTTTATTCACAGGATGCAGTCAAGGTAAAATTTATCATATTTCACTGAAATAGCACTTGTCTAAATGATGGCCTGGAAAAGTGAAGATGGGTTCAGATAGGAGCAGAGTTTGCAAAAAAGATAAATATACCAATGAACATTTTTGTGTTTTGTTTTCTAAGCAGAGATGAGTGTTTCTTTTTTTTTCTGTAATACCAAATGTAGTCTGTGAAACAGAGTCATAAAAATACAGCTATCGTCAAGGGCTTGAACCTAATTTAGATTGATTTATTTTGCATGTTAAAACTCTTCAGTTTAACATTGACATTTAAGACTGGTTTATGCCATCATTTCAGTATTTGTAATTACATATTTCCCTCAGTGTGCAAGCCATGCTTGTATAAAACTAATGTACAGCTTTTACTGAGTTAAACTGCTTTCATTTCAAAAGAATATTTAGTTTTGAAGCCAATAAAATCAAACCAAAAAAGTATATATATTTTTGTTATTTATTAAAATATTTTTATCAACTATAAACAGCAAAATCATATTTTTAATGCACTTTTAATGCATTTTAATGCATTTTGTCACATACATATCCGGATGCTTGAAAAAAAAAATCAGCATTACATTAGTAACATGATTAAATAACCACACACCAATTGTTCTTTAAATCTTGTTGACATATTTTTAAACTATGTATATGGGAAATTTTTCACAATTTTTTTTCCCAACAGTTTTTATTTGACACCTTCTTATCTCTGATCAAGAAAGGAAAGGATGCCAACATAGTGTCTCTCATGCCAAAAAAACCTGACATCCCTCCCAGAGCTCAGGTACAGTAAATACATGAGGTCAACCAGTCACTTTAGTTGTTCCTATAAAGATATAAAAAATAATAATAATTTATTAAAATGTGAGAGTGCAGAATGTACAAAATTCTGTCAATTTTTTGAAAGCAAAAGCATTTGAAGTATGCATCCTCAAAATTAGTAGCCTAATTTGTTTTGAAAATTAATTTGAATACTTCACAGTTGCAGTTATGTTCTGTGCATCTGGAGCCTGTTATGTATTAACTATACATACTGTATTAATGCAGGTTTCAAAGGTACTTGTACTGGGCTCTGGTGGTCTTTCTATTGGTCAGGCTGGAGAGTTTGACTACTCAGGATCTCAGGCTATCAAAGCCATGAAAGTAAGAACATCATGATATATTTAATTTAGTACTGTTATGTAAACTTTATTTTTGTTACAGTTGAATAAGTTCTAATAATGACTGGGATATATTGTCACAAATGAACAATATTAATGCAAATAATTTGCAAACTTAACATCAATTTATTTTTTGGGAATATAGGAGGAAAACCTGAAAACAGTGCTGATGAACCCAAACATAGCATCAGTTCAGACCAATGAAGTGGGCACCAAGCAGGCGGACTCTGTCTATTTCCTGCCCGTTACGCCACAGTTTGTAACTGAAGTCATTAAAACTGAACGTCCGGATGGGATCCTGCTCTCCATGGGTGGACAAACGGCCCTCAACTGTGGTATGATATACGCAGAAGTTTTCCTACATCTATGAAACTAAACTGTAACCTTATTTTACAGCAGCTTTATTTTGTGTGCAACACTCGGTAAATGCACTTTTACAACTAGTTTAGAATATATTTCTATGGAAATTTGGTCTTAGGGGTAGAATTGTTCCAGCGTGGGATCTTGGAGCAGTATGGGGTGAAAGTCCTTGGAACACCAGTGGAGTCCATCATGGCCACAGAAGACAGGCAGCTATTTGCTGACAAACTGATGGAGATCAATGAGAAGATTGCACCCAGCATTGCTGTGGAGTCGGTAAGGAGAACAAAAAAAGATGATCTTGTATAAAACTTGAATATTTTATCCATAGGTTGCACACATCTATCAAATAGGGCATTTTTTTGTTTGTAAAACGCTTCACCGGGATTTGATTTTTATGTTATTTTGTTGAGAACTTAAAAAAGTGTGAAATATAAAACATCTTTCAGGTTTCTGATGCCTTAAAAGCAGCTGAGCAGATAGGATACCCGGTCATGGTCCGATCAGCCTATGCTCTGGGAGGTCTGGGCTCGGGTCTGTGTGCTAACAAGGAAAAACTGGAGGAAACAGCCCATAAGGTCAGAATAAAGGGTGCATGATGAGACAGTCATCATTTCTTTTTGTGTATCATTTGTGAATATTAAAGTTTTACCATTTGTCAAAAAGTCATGTATTAAATTATTTATTTGCTTTTGAATTTTAGTTAAGTTTGCAGAATTTATTCTACTTGCAGACAGCCCTGATAAATGATCAGAATGATCTTATTTAGGTAAACTGCATATTTGTTGTAATGGCAAAGAAAGAAAAGGTTTGCAGTTGCTAAGCAACTTTTTTTGCTCATTTTATGCTTGTCCCCTTTTCCATGTTATATCTGACAGCTCTGAGCAGTAAGGGCAGACTGTTTTCAAATGCTGCATATCTTTTATACTTTTTCTACTGCATTTGAAGCTTTCTTTTCGCCTTATTCGTTAGTATGCATTTCTCAAATTTAGTTCTTTTATTGTCAGCAGTTGTTGCCTTCTCTGACCCTATGGGTCAAGAGTTTTTAAGCATGTTTTGCCATTAATATTGTTATGGATTAATTATGTATATCTGTTCTACCTTGACATTGTCCAGTAATCATATCTCATGATAACTAGTTTCGGCTGTTTTACTCTATCGGCCCAGACTTCAAGACTCCAGCAATGCATAACCTCTTTTATTTTGATAAGGTGCTTCCGGGCTGACAGCCCTGTCACTGGTTAGGTGGTTCACAGTTGGCGAACTGTGATTGGTTAAAAGCATGTCACGGGATGTTATATTATCGGCTGCTCTGCGCTGACGAGCCAGCCACAACTTGACAGACTTCTCTGATTGACTTCTGCTCTGTTGCTGCTCAAATTAAATCATTTGACGACCATACACGCAGACTTTCGGTGCATTTATTCCAACGTGTTTCTGCATTCTTGGTAAATCGTGCCACCACAATTTTTAACCTTTGTTTAACCAGGTAAATCCCATTGAGATCACAGATCTCTTTTGGAAGGGAGACTTGGGCCTGAAGGCAACTTATTATACATATTCAAACTGAGTTTAGTTAAGTTCATTTAATGCATTTTTTTTCAGGATGAAAACCAGCGTTGTGACTGATTGTGCATTGGTTAAAAGTTAATGTTCAAAGCGGAACCATAACCCATCCACCTTTTAATTCTAAGAAACAAACTGACAAACTACTGAGCTGCTCGTAGTTGATGTAATGTTTGGGTTTTATTGTAGGCTCTGGCCATGAGCAGTCAGATTCTGGTGGAGAAGTCTTTACTCGGCTGGAAGGAGGTAGAATATGAAGTTGTGAGGGATGTGGCTGATAACTGTGTCACTGTCTGCAACATGGAGAACTTTGATCCTCTGGGCATTCACACAGGTACAGACCACACATTTGATCCAACACAATACGTTACACTCACTTTATTTTACTATGATAAATGGACCCGTGGACTTCATACAAACAGAATGCTTTATTTGTCGGACTCTTTTTAATTCATTCTGGTTTTATTTTGTAACACTAAACAACTCCAGTCAGAATCAGCAGGTTGTTTCTAATGTTTATTTAACATTTTTCTTGATGATGAGAACATTTGTATCTGATTAAAAGAGCTGTGTAGTTGCCAAGATCACATTGACTTTGTAATTAAATACTGTTTTGGTTGTACATTTATTATATTATTTAGGGAGAAAATATTTAATCTTAAAGTTGAATCAAGTCAAATTTATTTTCAAAAAACTTTTAACAGTCTTCACAGTCATGTTTTTCACCAAGCCCTTCATGTGCCCTGCAGGGGACTCCATAGTGGTTGCTCCGAGCCAGACGCTGTCCAATGAGGAGTACCACATGCTCCGCGAGACTGCGATCAAGGTGGTGCGTCACCTCGGGATTGTGGGTGAATGCAACATTCAATACGCCCTACATCCATCGTCCCTAGAGTACTGCATCATCGAGGTTAACGCCCGACTTTCTAGAAGCTCAGCTTTGGCATCCAAAGCTACTGGGTGAGAACATACAGTACATGTTTATCTTTTCTTCAAATACTTTTTCATTGTAAAGCAAACAGAAAATAAAACACGTGTGCATAAAACTGATTCCACCACACAATTAATGCTTTAGAAAGTCATTTTCTTTGCTACAGTTGCAGTCAGGATGTATTTTTCCCTTTCTGCAAGACAAAATTATTTCTCCAAGGAAGAAAACAGTTGCTGGTGTTCAACATGCATTACGTCATAACAAAGTTTCTCTGCTAAATTCAAGTCAGGGCTTTAGCTAGACAGTTGTGAGACATTTTATATGTGCCCCCTTTGACTACTTGAATGTTGCTTTAGTAGTATATTTAAGGTCAGCTCTGTGCTGGAAGGGGGATCTTGGTCCCATTTTCAGTATCTCAGTAACTGCACTGTGCCAGTGTGTATTACCACATCCTGAAATCTGACTGGTTTCTTTGGCCCTACCTATAAAAACTCAGGCCCGAGGCAGCACAAAATTTCACTCTGGGGACAATGATTTCAAGCCATGGAGAGATGTTGCCCAGTACAACAATTTCATTGATGGCCAGAAGGTTTTATTAGACTTTTATTTGACCGGTGTTCCTATACCACGTCATTTAAGGACATCTATGAATGCCTTTTTTTTGGCCATGTTTCTATAAAATCTACTTTTGGTAGGAGGACAGCTTATATACTTGAAATTATCACTGTAAAATAACACAGAATCAGAAATTTTTTGCAGCTAGATTGTATTGTAGAGAAGAAGTAGACCACCATTGCAATTTAATGTACTGTATTTATTCAAGTATAATATGTAAAATTTAGTCCATAAAATCATCCATAAAGTTGAGGGGTAATACTATACTC